TGGACTGCCAAGATGTTGTCCCGGTAGTACTGGCCTGTAACACGCCCTGCAACAACATGTAAAGCCGTTCTTCCAGCAACAGTGATGCCTCCCCACACCATAACAGAACCACCCCCAAATCGATCATGCCTGATGACGTTAACGTCTTGGAAGCGCTCGTTTCGACGACGCCACACCCTCCTACGTCTGTCCAAAAAATCAACAGTGAACCTTGACTCATCTGAAAACATCACATTGCTCCAGCGTCGATTATCCCAGTGTTGACGATCCCTACACCAACGACGTCTTGCCTGAATGTGATGATCTCTCAAACAAGGGATCACGCGAGGACGTCGGGCGCGAAGGTGACCCCTATGCAGTCGATTCCGAATCGTCTGGCCACTCACTCTCACACCAGTGTCTGTTTGAAGACGAGCGCTGATCTGATTTGCTGTGATGACACGATTTCTCAAGGCCAAGGTACGGATAAATCGATCCTGGGCTTGAGTTGTCGCCCTTGGTCGACCTGAGCGTGGTCTGTCCTGTACAGATTGTGTATCACGGTATCTGGACCATAGCCTGCTTATGACAGACTGAGAAACATTCATCGTCCGCGCCACAACCGCCTGTGTTGTGCCGATCTGTAGCATGCCAAGGGCACGTAACCTTTCATTTTGGGTAAGCCGACGCATATCAAAATTTGTTTTCTGGTCACTAAAACAATTAAACTGATGTTTCCACCCTGGAATTCAATGCCACAATGACTGTAACATTCAAAGTCAGAGTCGTGCAAATCTTGGGTTGGACCCCCATGATGATCCCAAGCATCACCTGCATTCCATGCGGTAGCTATTGGTGCGTTTGGGCGTCACATGTAACTGGAAATGTTTCTTCTGTTAGGTTCTATAGTGACTTTTTTCGTAGTCATTTGCATATTTTAGTATTATGCCCCCAAAATCAAATATCCCCTACTTTTTTTGAATAGTATATAATGGTATCTGTAATACCACTTACATTAGTTTTGTTTATCATATGTATAATAAATAAATTGATCCATCTTGAAAAGTTCAGAAAAGTTTTGATTTTGATGTACAAAAAATGCTGTGGTGCTATAGCAGTTCCATTCTGCCACCGGATTTTTCATTTTTTTGTGCCATAGTAGAAAATTCTTAATTCAAAGACTGTTTATATGGAATTATGATTCCTCCAATGAAATGGGGATATGGGGAATACAACCTATAATAACCATTAATGGAATCTGTAACATGGACAGGAAATATTCCTTTGTAATTTTCGTTGAATAAGCAGATTGTTTTCCCCTCCAGTAGATTGGGTGGAGCTTAACCGTGCAATAACTAGAATAAGTTGTATGTTTAGTGTTTTGAAGGAGTTCCAGAAATGTTCCCGGAAAATAAGTTACCCTAAATAGGTCAATGCTCATTTAGATGTGGGTAAGGCTTTTGTATTATTATGGAATTACAAAAAATTAATTATGTTTTCTTATGACAATATGTAATATACACTATGTAAGATTTAGGTAAAAAGCTGTCCTTTAGGGCTATTATAGTTATAAAGTAGATAATGCAAAATTAATATACTTTATTCTGAGCCAGTGATTCCCCCTTGTTAGTGGTGTAGGACGAAGGGCCTGGTAAGGGACAACCTAGTCATTCAGATGGGATGAAAAACCGAGGTTCGTGTACACATAGGCGTGCACATAAAAGATCCCTAGACGGTTGGAATTCAAATTAAGTGTAGGTCATAGCGCCGCTGTCTGGGCAAAATTTCCCTCATAGCACACTGCATGATGTCTTCATTAGCCCAGTAGGAGCAGAACAGTAGGTCATTAAAAACCCTTTTCAATTGATTCTGACCCAAGACTGGTATAGTCGAGTCTTAGCATCACTTCTCCATTTCTAAATTATATCATTAAATGGCCGATCCGTTCTAATCTAGTTATAGACTCGGGCATCTGATGGCATCAAGAGTTGATTATGGTCTTGTCATGTTAATAAATGTCTAATTAATAATTTATATAACATTTAATGTCAGTATATAATTATGATAATGTAAAATGTAAAAATAACTTACTTTAGCTCTAGCAGTAAAGACTTTAACACATCTATCATGTGCATAATCACAGATCTGACATAGCATATCCTTTAATCCATGTATAGATTTCATATAATCATTATCACTTATAGTTATATCCACATCTGTAGTACTGATAAAATAAACATTATTACATTAATGGTTAGTTATCATTACATAGTGAAATATACTGTAAACAACATAATGTTTATATGTTTATCATTAGACATTCCAATTTACTGTAAACAACATGATATTTATTATCATTACACAGTGCAATATACAGTAAACAATGTAATATTTATATATTTATCATTAGAGTGCAATATTACTGTTAACAGCATGATATCTATATACTTATCATTACATACTGCAATATTACTGTAAAAGTTATATTTATATATCTATCATTAAATTAAATCAAACACATGTACTGGCTTCCTTCTGTAAGTAGCAATGATTAAGTACAGTGGACTCTTGTCAAATCCGACATCGTATGGGATAGTTAAAATATGTCGGATTAAGCAGAGTGTTGGAATACTTAGTTTTCTCAAAACCGGAAGTATTATTATAACTTCGAAAACCGGAAGTATTATTATAATGTAGCTTCGAATCCCCAGAACGTCATTCTGTACATTCAAAATTTGATTACATTAATTTTTATTTCATTTAACATGCGTAGGCATTTTGAATAGGTCAAGTCTGTCGTTAATTTATCGTCTTCATCGTCTTCAGTTGATTGCACACTTGTCTTTGCTGTGACGTGTTCATTGATAATCTGTCGTTCTATGTCCAGGTTGTCGTCACACGGTTCGGAGAGATCCATAAGGGTGAATAGGTATTCAGGTTCAATCGGTATGCGCAATGAATGTTTCCAAGAGGTGCTAGGTATATATTTACCACTGTGAATTTGTGGGTATTCTTGAGTATTTGTCACAACTGTCTTACAAGAGATTATAAAATTATAAAAGTAATCAACAAAGATCTACACGAGCGAGTTTTAATTTCACTGATAATTGATTGGTGACTGCTTGTTAATCTTTTGTGGCTTCACACCCACCGATTGAAGGCCGGATTATACAATGTTGATTCAATGAAAATCATGTGATGGGACGGCTGATTGATGTCGTAATTTGGAATATTCAGAATACAGATTACTCAAAGCTTTTTTGACTGAAGTAATAAGGAAATAAATTGGGACATGAAAATAATGTCGGATTTCACAGAATGTCGTAGTATTCAGAAGTCAGATGTGTCAGAGTCCACTGTATATACTTACACTGTTACATGTAAATGTTGTGGTTCTTGTAACTGTAATTTAGTTACATTATGTAAAGGTGAAGCTATAGGACTAGGTGATTTAGTTCTACCAGCAGATATACCAATAACATCTTCAACAACACCACTATATGCCTACAAATAAACCAAATTTATTCCATGCTCTTAAAGTGGATAAAAGGGTTATTATCATCTATGTACATGTACAACCAACATAAGGCCAGTTAGCATTGCTCTCAATTGTGTATTGAGTGGGGTTCCCATTGGAACATTGCCTCCACCCATTCAGGGCTGTCAAAAATAACTGATTAATCAACAATTAATCAAAATGTTTTACATGGCTCTCACGCCACCCTAATATCATTTTAAATATTTTGTGCCCCACTCCCTTTTAAGAAATCTAGAACAGGCTACTGATTGCTCTTACATCTGTTAATGTTATTAAAGTTCAGTATCTAGTTTAGAAAGAGATAAAAATAAACACATTATGTAGACAATATTTTAAGAACATGTTATTAGTATTCACGAACAGAAGCTTTAAAGTAGCAACAAAATTACTTATTAATTCACAAATCGTGTCAATCTTTGCATTTTGCATGTTAAATTTTTTACTATTACAGCGTATTGTATAACAATCTCATATTTTTTCAAACATAGCATTTGAGAACTTCAGTTCTTTAATTAGATGCCAACTAAAATGGTATTTGGTTTCAGTAATTGAATAAGGTCAAATTATTTATATGCAAATCTGGTTAATATGACATTGTAAAGGATGTAATTGTAAGTAAAAGTGAAGTTACCTTTGCTCTCTCCAACAGAACTAACATATTAGAAAATAATGACTGTAATAATTCCATCCATTTAGGATAATTTAACAATCTCATTTGGTCTCCTAACCTGAAAATATAAATCAATCCTTTGATGATGCATTAATAATTGATATATTTTAAACACTCATCTAAAGTCTCAACATGCCAGAATAATGGTTAAATATAGAGTTTAGAATCATACATAATCAAAGTTTATTAAAAACATTTTGGTCCAAAAATGATTCAAATCGGTCAATTCTAACTAAAGTTTATATTACTTTCTATTGAATTCACAACACCACCTAATAATAATTGTGCTATCTTTTTTTGTACAAGAAAGCCCATTCTTTGTGTAGATCTTTTTATACTCAGATGTTCTTAATTAAATAATAACAGTCTTTACATTAAAATTGTACATATTTTTTACTTGTTGTCCCTTTAACGTAGAATGTTTATTGATGGAATGGTTCTTAAACAATTCAGATAATGGTTACCACTTCATTGGGTTATAAATTCACTGTTTTAAGGGCTTAGTATTAGAATTCAGGTTAAAAAGAACTTTCTAATTTTCTCAAGACTGGTTTCTGTTCCAGTTCCATGCTTTTACGCATATTGATACATACAATTTAGAAAGAACTAAAGCTACCTTGACCTCAAAAGCTCAGACAGATAATAAATATAATACAAACCCTCGAATATTACCCTCAGTATCAACATCATCTACAACACATACATGCTCTATCACGGTCTGAAAAATAAAAATACAAACAATTTCAAAAATATCATCTCAAACATTTTAATAGGGAATAACAATATCTCTTTTCCTATCATTTATCTTTTCAGTATTTAATAGAGCCATAAACTTTTCCAATCAATATGAACAAACTCAACAAAACAAAACAAATATAGAATAAAAGATAGGTTGCCAGGCAACGAAACATACGCCAACAGCAGCTAAATCGTCAAAGCGGTTGACAAGGGTTGTCGCATATTTATTCCTTTGTAGGTAATTGGGGGCCTTTACAAGACAGTTCCATACAGATCAGATAATAATTTTTGCCGTTTGAGGGTTCACAAGGTTCTACAAACTGAAACGAGGGTCTCAACTCTGGAAGTAATCTACAGAAATCGTTGAAATTTGACAGGCTTTTTCTTTTTACTAATTTAAATATTGCATATAAATTTCATACAGATTAGATGATCACTTTTGTCACAAGGTTCACAACTGCCATAACTCTAGAAATTATTGACGGAAATTGCTGAAATTCAATAGACCTCTGTTTCACAAATTTAAATGATGCATATAAATTTCATACATATTGGATGATAACTTTTATCAATCGAACATTAACAAGGTTAAACAAAGTGAAACAAGGGCCATAACTCTAGAAGTAATAAACGGAAATTGCTGAAATTCAATAAGCTCCTTCGTTTCCCTAATTTAAATATTGCATATAAATTTCACGCATTAGAGTGTTCGCAAGGTTCAACAAAGTGAAACACGGGCCATAACTCTAGACGTAATAAACGGAAATTATTGAAATTAAATAGGCTTCTTCATCTCACTAATGCAAACAACATATATCATTTTTAAAACAACTGGATGATAACTTTTGGCATTAGAGCGTCCACAAGAAATTGTGGACGATGGACAGACGGACTGACCGACGGACGGGGCGATGGCAATATACGTCCACATTTCTTTGTGGGCATATAAAAATGCTAATAATACCTGTTTCACTGTAGCTTTAATAGAGGTGAACGCTTCATCTTTAAATGTCTCAATAAAACTAAAATTATTTTGTTTGAGCATACCAAATACAATAGATACCAGTTTCTCCTAATGATAAATATATAAAAAATATATTGACAAAACTTTTATATACATAAATATTACTTCTAACAAAAAATCAAAACTAACTAGAACTCCTAAGGAGTACTGACATGTTTTGGTATGTCACGTCACGCCCTGTCACATCAACATTCAAGTTACACCATAAATTATTGAGTATAGTAACATCCAATACCTATTAAAGTGGAAAAACCTGTCATTTTGAACTCTTAATATAACTGGAAGTTGTACTTCACGACAAAACTTTTTTATATTAACTGTTAGTAGACATCAGGGTCATAATACATACAAAGGTCAAGGGTCATGGAAAGATTAGGTCACCATCTAGATGGTGAAAAGTCGAACAAACTTCAAAGTGAAATCGGAAGTAAACAAATTTGAAATTCAAAAATCAGCCCCCTAAGGATTGTTGCCATTTGGAGTAGGTTCAATACAAGAAAAAGTTTATCGAAAATCGGAATTAAAATGGCAGCTGAATATCGATTTGAATGTTTTTTGTAAAATCCAATATGGCGGTGAAGCAGTTGAAAATGTTATGGAACAAGGTCTTTGAAAATGAAAGATAACATCTGGGGCTAACACCACCATATATGTCATTTTTAGTCTATTTTGAAAATGCTTGGGGAAAATCGGAAGACCTCGGTAATTTCCAGAAGTTTCCGGAAGCCGTCACAAATTTGTTTCATATGCCATTTTGAAGGCTTCGGTGTGTTCCTTATTCCTACTACTTTGACCAGCGGCTGCCAGGCAGGATACGCCCACATTTTCGAGAGATGGATAGAGAACAAGCTAAAAAGAAAGTGATTTTTCCTACAATCAGGAGCCATAATTCAGGAAGTTACGGTCCGATATGCACGAACATCGAAAGGAACCGAGATCTTTGGGTTATAAACTTATATTTCAAGTTTCAACAAAATCGGATAAAAAATTGTGACCTCTTTAGGGTCCACAACCTTGAAATACCATATTTTTTACGCTATTTGAGAAAGAAGGGCGGCCATTTTGCCTGTCAGTTTTGGGCCGATTTTCACGAAATTCGAACTCAGTCATCCTTAGGGTGTAACAGTGATATAATAATACGTTTTTTTAAATCGGATAAAAATTATGACCTCTATAGGGTCCACAAGCTAAAAACGTGATTTTTCTTAAAATCAGGGGCCATAATTCAGGAAGTTACGATCCGATAAGCGCGAATATCGAAAGGAACCGAGATCTTTGGGTTATAAACTTACATTTCAAGTTTTATCAAAATAGGATTAAAATTGTGACGTCTATAGGGTCCACAACCTTGATATACCATATTTTTACGCTATTTGAGAACGAAGGGCGGCCATTTTGTCTGTCAGTTTTGGGCCAATTTTCACGAGATTCGAACTCAGCCATCCTTAGGGTGTAACGGTGATATAATAATACGTTTTTTTAAATCGGATAAAAATTATGACCTCTATAGGTTCCACAAGCTAAAAACACGATTTTTCGTACAATCAGGGGCCATAATTCAGGAAGTTAAGGTCCAATATGCGCGAATATCGAAAGGAACCACGATCTTTGGGTTATAAACTTACATTACAAGTTTCAACAAAATCGGATAAAAATTGTGACCTCTATAGGGTCCACAACCTTGATATACCATATTTTTATGCTATTTGACAACGAGGGGCGGCCATTTTGTCTTTCAGTTTTGGGCCGATTTTCACGAAATTCGAACTCAGTCGTCTTTATGGTGTAACGGTGATATAATAATACGTTTTTTCAAATCAGATAAAAATTATGACCTCTATAGGACCCACAAGCTAAAAACGCAATTTTTTGTACAATCAGGGGCCATAGTTCAGGTAGTTACGGTCCGATATGCGCGAATATCGAAAGGAAACTAGACCTTTGGGTTATAATCTTACATTTCAAGTTTCAACAAAATCGGATAAAAATTGTGACCACAACTTATATATACCATATTTTTACGCTATTTGAGAACGAACGGCGCCGATTTTGTCCGTCAGTTTTGGGCCGATTTTCACGAAATTTGAACTCAGCCGTCCTTAGGGTCTAACGGTGATATAATAATACGTTTTTTTAAATCGGATAAAAATTATGACCTCTGTATGGTCCACAAGCTGAAAACGCGATTTTTCGTACAATCAGGGGCCATAATTCAGGAAGTTACGTTCCGATATGCGCGAGATCTTTGGGTTATAATCATACATTTCAAGTTTAAACTAAATTTGATAAAAATTGTGACCTCTACAGTGTTCACAAGCTAAAAACGTGATTTTTCGTACAATCAGGGGCCATAATCCATGAAGTTAATGTCCGATACATGCCAATATCGAAAGGAACCGAGATCTTAGGGTGATAAACCTATATTTCAAGTTTCATTGAAATCGGATAAAAATTGTGACCTGTAGACTGTTCACAAACAATTGTGGACGGACGTCCGGACGGACGGACAGGGGCGACGACAATATACGTCCACATGAAAATGTGGGCGTATAAAAATGAAAGATAACATCTGGGGCTAACACCACCATATATGTCATTTTTAGTCTATTTTGAAAATGCTTGGGGAATATCGGAAGGCCTCAGTAATTTCCAGAGGTTTCGAAGCTGTCACAAAATTTTTTCATATGCCATTTTGAAGGCATCGGTGTGTTCCTTATTCCTTCCAAGTTTCAACTTGATACCTCAAATACTGACAGAGATATGCCATCTTGAATGTCGAAAAAAATGATGAAGAAAACTTTCGCAAATCTATGATGCTAATATTAATCGAGAAAAGTTTCGAATTTCTAAAAAACGTCAGTCAGAGCACCATTGGGATTCTATGATGCTAATATTAATTGAGAAAACTTTCGAATTTCTAAAAACCGTCAGTCAGAGCACATATGGGATTCGTCCAAAGAATCCCAAAATGAAAACCTGAAGAAGATCCGTTGAGAAATAACCGAGGTCCGAAACAAGTAACTAGTATTATTATTTTAAAGTATCTTACAATCAATGATGTACCTAATTCGTTCTATTCTCCAGGCACAATTTTATAGAATATAATTAAGGATGTAAATGGCTAGTTGGTTAACCGGACACAGTTCGGTTGCACTGGTGAATGAAATTTGTACTGACGGTTAACTTAAAGCAGGCAAGTCTCTAACTCAATATCATCCACAGTCTTCGACATTGCACACACGGCTTATTGGTCAAATTAAATCAACATTGATGTTGTTATCTTCCGTGAAAAAATGGGCTTCTGTTATCCAATATTTAAGACAAAATGAAAATTTTAAGATTGGCACAAGAATCGCATGTCAGAATGCTTTCGATGAAACGGGGCTAAACATACCCACAGGAGAATACTACCAGTGTAGACTGGAATAACCAGACACCAAAGACTGCCATTCAATTTGGACTCTTTGTGTATTTCGCCGAACTTAACTGATTAGAAGTTGTAGTAAAAACAGAAACAACTGAATGTAAATCAGTTTATATACATTCATATTACATTATTATATGTGTTGCGATCCATTTGTGTCCTTTTCTAGGTGCTAAGGAATAGAGATTTAGCTCCTTTAAAAGCTGTAATGCTAATAATTTGAACATGTATCACTAAGTCTTCCTGTGGTTCTACAAATATTTTAATAGAAATTTTTTATCAAATGTGAACAAATCGGTTAACCGTTTGCAGTTGGGGTTTTAACAAGCAGTTAACCGGTTCAATATTTTTTTTAACAGTTACATCCTTAAATATAACAAGCCAACAGTGAGGCTGATGTCCCCCGCCAAAATCACAAAATCAATAATTAATCACACATTTATTTTTTTCAAAAGTATGAAGTATCAAACTGATTATCAACTATACACTAAGTTTCATCACTCTCTATCAGTTAAAGTTGCAATTTCATATTTTTACGTTATATTTTTAAAAAATATTAAAGTAAAGCCTTAAAATAGATGGTATATAAACAGTCCTACCTTGTTAAAGAATAATCCTATTAATCCTATAATTC